GATCCTTCTTGTCTTGTTTATGTTTGGTAGTACAGGACAAGAATTATAGATATCACAAACAACTTTTATTTGAAATTTTTTTTTTTTTTTTAATTTCTATTTTTTGTCAAGTTTCTCGAATACGGACCATAATAATATTAGAAGTAACTTTTATTTGAAGAATTTTCTTCTCCAAACGTAAATAACATATATTCTATAAAATATAAAACGATTCTCTATAAAGTACCCTTCCAGATTGTTCCGACTCTGCCCAAAATTAATCAGTTCACCGCAGTTCGGAATAAAGCTTAGTTTAAAATTTGGTGTTTTATCTGTATCCGTTCATGAGTTATCGAGTATATACGGACATCGAGAAAATAATCAAAACGAATTCAGGAGACCCCACAAAACTTAAAAATCGTCAAAAACTCGAGGTCGAAAAAAATCATAATTCCTATACCTTCCTTATCTGTATACCAGACTGTATACAGACAGGAAAGTAAAAAGTTTTAAATCAAAAATCATTTTGGATATGTAAATCACATTGGCCGTGTTCATCGTCGTCAAACATGTTGTAACGCTGAGTAAGCGGTGACGATGAACTGTCAACCGCTGCAGCGCTTTTGAAGAAGCATAAAAGCGAAAATAAACTCGCTTGTTTGCTTTAAAAGCATAAAATTGACCTTGAACCCCTGTCAAATCCGTCTTTTGGCATTTTGTTAGGTTATGTGTTTGTTTATTTATTTATATTTTTAAGGTTTTATACCCTAATAGAAGGTCTGTTCTGGTTTTGAGAAATAACGATCCACAACTGTCGGGCTCATGCGCAGTAGATAAAAAGTGTTCTGGTTTTTCTGGGACTACTTCGGGTCTCTCAGTCCAGTGTTCTGGTTTCGTATCCGAAATAATCCGTGATTGTTGTAAATAGTCAAAATGTGTAAATGCTTGGGAGTGTGGACCGACTCGGACTGTTTTGACCGCGCATGCGTTTTTGAAGTGTTATGAATATTGTTATTAGGCATTCCAAACAAATGAATTACCAGTGGGCAGGTTTGGTATATCTAAGGGTGGCGACATATGGTGTATTCTATCTACTTTACGTAAAATCATGAATAATGGATTACATTTAAATATTTTATGTCAAACACAATAAAAATAATATTTAAAAAACCTACCTATACATTTCTTCATAAATTGGCAGGCTTGGCGAGTACTACTTCGAATAAAAATAGCGTCCAAGTTGCAAGACTATGTCGCTACCCCCTTAAATATACAAGAATTTCCCACTGGCACCTATTGTTTGACAGGTCGTTGGAATGCCTAATTGGCTTTTTAGACCATACGGAACGTATGCAATCCCAAATTCTTTATTTATATGTGAACAAATGTCTCTTATTCTTGTTTTATTTGTAAATTAAAGCAATTTTAGAATTATTATTTTTTTAATATTCTGTTTTTATTTATTCCATTGAAATGTAATGATAAACATATACATGCAAATGTTATTTGAAGCTGAGCTTTCAAAAGGAACTTCATTATTATAATAAACAATAAACAAAACACCTTTATGTGTTCTGGTTTTCCAACAATTTCAAACAGTCGGGGATTTTTTGCCTTTACGCATACGGTCCGGCGCAGTTTCAAAACAGTTTTCATTTTGAGAACCAGAACAAACCTAGAGTTGATTAGTTAATTTGTATTTTAGGGTCGATTCCACCGTTGTGTTAAATGGAGATTAAAATGACATTGTTAATGTAAAAATGTCATTTTAAACTTCGTTTAACACAACGGTGGAATCGGTCCTTAATATAATATTGTATTTATGGAGGTACCTGTTTGAAGAAAATAAAATTAATTCCAGACGTAGATACATACACGTATGCTTAAATTATTTCATTTGGACGTTAATGGGATTCCACCAGTAAGGAATATGGATAATATAACATACCTACATATTATATAGTTTTAGCACAGAGTTATTCAAAACAGACGAGTTTTGTTATTAAAACTGCACCGATGTTTTTTGTTGTCATGTAATGTATATAGGGCATTAAAAAAATTAATAATAAAAGTATGACATTTTATTTACAAAATAAATTAAATATAAGCAATTATATAATTTATATTAAAAAGGGCCCACTTTGGGGACAATGGTACACATAACTTGAAAGTGGGTTTGTCTTGCCTAAAGCGGGACTTATGATGTTAGGTATGACTCAAAAATAAAAGTTTACTTCAGGTTGATTTTCATTTTTATCTCTTCCTCCTTTTTCGATTCAGTTAGTTTTTAACTGGTTTGAGACACATGCCCCAAGTTCTGGGCTGGAGTCCAGTTTAAATGATTACTAACTTCGAAGGAACTCTGTTTCCCTAAAAATAAGAAAGTCATACTTGATGTCTCTATTATTATACACTTTTATGTATCCTTGGTAAATGTAAAAAGATCACTTTTTGAGATGTATGTTATTAGTATCATGAGTTCCTTTACTTTAATTTATTGGTGCAGACCAGACAGTTGATTAAACACAATACACAATAAATAACATTCTCATTCTGCTCTTCAAAGTATGATCTAGTTACAGTATATTTTTATTTGTGTGTCAAAAAAATGTATTTTACCTGTAATAAAATGACTATTACAATTTCTTTGATTAGTCTAAGTATGTAGAATTCAAGATCCATAGAGGCAATAAAAACATCATGACTTTACAACCCAAAATAATACAAGTTGTAGGTTTTTCGCCGTAAAATTGTCAAAACCACTTTCAGAAGGGTACTTATATAAACTCTAATTCACTGTACAAATCAATTAAACTCAAATTTTTTTAAAAAATACTAAAGTAAACAATTCACATAACCTTCTTTGTGCCAACCAAATGTCATTCCATTTTTTGACAGATTTGAGGTTGAGAAAACAAATCGTAAACAAAAATGATCGTTCAGCGTCATTCCAACCGCTTATGAAACATGTTTCTTTGCTTTTAAAACATGTTTGACGACGATGAACACGGCCATTGACTTACATAGAAAATTGACACCGCAGGGGCCAAATTCTCGAAACATGCGTTAACTGCCGCATGCGCTAAGTAACGCATGGTCGTTAACGCATACGACAGCAATTTAGTATTCCTGAACACCATGCGATAATCGCGAATCAAGTCGAACGTGTTAACGAAGAGTCTTTGATTATTGCATAGTCTTAACCAATGAGGATTGAGAATACCAAAGATGGTATCACTGAATATGAGATAATTGCATTGACATATGTCAAAATTGCCAAAAATGCAAAAATTATAAAATTAAATGGATTGCAGATGTCTAATAATTTTTGGTTTTTGGATGTTTTAACTGTGATTATTTGTATTTTGGACTTGAGAATTGGAGTGGTTTAGATTTAGAATATTAAAAATGGAACAGCGGGGTTCACGAATAACGGAAAAACAGCGTGAAACTTTAGTAGAATTTATAACATTGTTTAGTGCCTGTAAAACTCCTATTTCTTCTACATCATCCATACTAAATAAAATATACCAAAATAAACTGGCACTTAAGCGTCCAATAAAAGAGTTCACGGTACAAAAAGTTTAATTTTTATATTCTATAGTAACTAATAAAATGTTCAAAAAAGTCAAATTAAAAATAAATATTTCCCAATAAATCACAAAACATAACCAAAACCAATACATAGAAACATGAATCAGAATCACATATGATAAAGCAGGATTAATTGACAATTATAACCTTACTTTCACCTAAACGAATGCGATAAAGTGGTTGTCGAACGGTCATGAGCGCTCTTTGAAAATCATCATTTCTTAGCGCACGCGTTAATAAATTTGACGAATGCCGCCAGCTCAGGAATACACTTTCATCAAGTCGCATACGTTATCGCATGCGTCAGGAATTGGGCCCCTGTTATTCGACATGTCAATTTCGCGAACATGAGGCGAGTTCGGTCAGTCAGGGGCTGGAGCGGGACAAATTTTAGGGTGCTTTTAAATGACATTTAAGCGTGTTAAACTGTCACTAATCGGACTAAACCGAACGCTAAAAGAGTCGTTTGGAGTTAAAAGTGTTAAAGGAGTTAAAGGAACGTGGCAAACCGAACGCAATGTTTATAAAAAGAAGGAGGGAAATTTGAAATTTGATCATTGCCGATTCGACTTCTTCTGCTTCTTCTCTCTAGTCTTCATAATTCTACCCCACTCCAGTTCATTGAGTAAATACCGACTATTCCCGGTAGTTCACAAGGTTCAAATGAAGTGTTTCGGGGATTACCCTACTATTTTGGCCTTGTCTGCACAGGTTCAAAAGTATTAATAAACCGGTTTGGTAACTCATTGCATTACACTTTTAAACAGTTTCTTCTGGGTCCGTTAATGTCTATGGTATTCATTATCTTCGAAAAATTATACTCGAAATGCTTTCTTTTAAAGCGATTTAAGTTTTAATGTCCAATCCAATGCATATTCAAAACACGAATCGTTTTGGAACTGTTTTGTCCTAAATATCAGGCCAGATAAATGGCCTTGTCGTTGCTGGTATACATACACCATTGCTGCGTTTGAGAATCCACATCGGATCAATGAACTGGAGTGGGGTAGAATGCTTGTCAATAGGCTTGAGATGCGACTCTATGGGCAAAGACAGGTTATTTTTCATCTCACTCGGGAGTATTTATAACAACCATTTTCTATTTCACTTTGTTATTGTCTGATCCACCAGCATGTGGATTGAACAATAACAAAGTGAAACAGAAAATGGTTATTATAAATACTCCCGAGTGAGATGAGAAATAAAAATGGCTGCGCCCATAGGGTCGCATCTTGTTTTATGATACAATATGCACATTGGCTTTCTACCCCACTCCAGTTCATTGCATCGGATGCATCTGAGATGTAAAAAATCTTTGATCACGTGATTCAGTATACGTAAATGTAATGGGACAGATGTGTCCGATGTGGATAAAAAAACGCTCGAGATGTAAAAAATGCATCCGATGTGGATTCTCAAACGCAGCACATGCACATTGTCAATTTTATGTGTCAAATGAATGATAACCTTCAACTTCTTTTCAATCTTTATTCATTCAATTTTTTTATAATTTTAATTCAATTCATTCTAATCATTTCTCCATCACTCATTTCATTTGGTGTTTTGTGTTGAGCTGTTGAAGGAGCTTGAAATAAAACGTTTTTGTTGTAAGTCTACGGACTTTTGAGATGAACAAGTTAGAAAATACTTTAAAAAATCTGGATATTAACGAAAGTGGAAGTGATTACTTAGTTTACCAATATATTTCAGTATTTAAGGTAACATTCTAAAATACTTTTAAAACTAGTATTTTTGTTAATAAAATAATTTTTTAGAACCCCAGTAACTTGCCAATCAATCAGATTCATTTGGAGAAAATTTGGTATGAGTTAAAGGGAGAATTTCCAGAAGATGTAGTAAGTTGCTAAATACTAATTACAAATTATTGTGCAAGCAGGAAGTTATCTATTGTCATAAACTTATCTTAAAATTTACTAAGAGAAAAAGGGCTACATTAGTAACATTAACATTCCTTGTTTTTTTTTGTTCATATCTAATTATTAATTATCTATTTTATGATACCACCTGTTGCTAATAATTTTTAAAATTCATGTTTTTTATAGTAATGCATTTTTAGGATATTTTGGAACTTACCGAAGATGTACTTAAGAAATTCTATGACAAAAAAAGTGAAATTATACCAGCTCTAGTAAGTAGCCTAAATTTCTTAAATTTTTAAATTATAAGTACAATTTTAAAACATTGTTTTTACTTTAGTAATAATTTTTATTTTTAATTTTAGGATAAGAGATGGTTGCCCAAATTAATGTTCTTTAATTTTGAGCCCTATATTTTCTCTCTTTCAAAAGAAGAAAATGTAGATTTTTTAACTAAAAATATGGCTTTCTTTGACAGTTTGGAATATTTACTAAAATGTAATTACCATCAATTTTGGTGTACAATTTTTTTCGAACCTTCAGCTGCAGTATCATTAAGAAGTTTTATTTTAAATCCCATCCCCCCTTATCAAATGATACATTTAGAAGAAGAATATGCGAATTTGTATCACTCAGTATTTAGAATGTTTCTTCTTGTATATCAAAGACTGATTACTTTTAAAGTGTCTGAAGTAAGTATTTTTAGAACTATCTTTTTCCATGATCATCCAATCACCCAAACCTTTAAAACTACATCAGTAAATTATCCAGAGTACCCAGCACTTATATAGCATAGCAATGCAGAAAAACTAGGGATCTACTTATATAGTTTTTTGTTTCACCTATTTGAAGTTGTTACTTTGGAAAGAGTCTACTTATAAAATAGAATTCAATCTTTTTCTTTAAAATTCTATTTACAAAATTAACAGCAAGTTAAAATTTAAAGATGGAAGTTGCACACACTTAGATTAGATTAAAGAAAAGGAAATATATAATGAGCGAATGATATTAATATGTCATAAAAATATTCTTCAGTTGTATTATATGCATTATCAGTTACAACATTTTTCAGCTTATTAAGTCATGTGTTGTATTAATCTGTAACACACTATTTTTACTTGACTTTTTTGTATTTGTTAGATTTTTTAATAGGTATTTAATTTATCTAATGTGCCAAAAAACAATATTATTATTATTACACATTACTATTAGGCTAAAGACACACACGGGTGTTTTCGCCGAGTTGGCCGCCGCCTTGGCGGATGCTGTAATGTAAATAAATGGAGTTGTTCACACTATACAGCGCTGCGAGAAAGCGACGCTACACCGCCGCGCGTACCGTCGTTCGACTCACATGCATTACTTTTGTGAACCGCTTTATGTGTTTTGGCAGAGGCGGCCAGCCGAGTCGGCGGAAACAGCCGTGTGTGTCTTTAGCCTTAAACTTCAGAGTCGCTATCGGACTATATCAGTCTCATCATAGTATTTACTAAATTTTTAATTAATTTAATGTTAACAAATATTTAACGTAATCGTTTTCTACCCCAATTACATGTTGAATGGCATTTTTCTAACTTGTTGCTGTAATTTTTGTTATTTCTCTAATTATTTAGAGAACAGCCGAAGAGAATTTTGAAGCCACATTTCTTCTTACATTTCCATTTAATTGCGCCCATATTAACTCTATTGGATTTAATATGCAAAAATATGGAGGGAGTCTAAGCACAGTATGTCCATTTCTGAGAGCACAGTTATCAACATGTTGATAATCTTTAATGGGTCCCCTGTTGTTTTAAGTGTATATTAATGACATTGTTGATTTCAAGGATCACTGTGACATTCACCTGTTTGCTGATGATGCCCTAATATATTTTTCTTGAAAGTATTCAGATAACTTTGTAAGAGTTGTTAATGAAACACTGCAACATGTTTATAAATGGCGCTGCAATAATTTGTTGAAAATTAACATTATAATAATAACATAATAATTATAATTATTTTTCCTCTATTGGATGGTACTGTATTTGAACATTTTTTATTGTTATTTGTCCAGCTCTTTTTCTTTTTATTTGTCTATAATTCGTTATACTTCTTATATAATCGTTTCTCAAAGAAACAATTCTGCTACTTTACATGATTGCTTGGGGCTTATCTATGGTGTTATATTTAAAATTATTAGCTTTAAGGAACAACTGAAGTGTTGTTGCCGAACAAAAAGAATATCTTTTTTAAATTAATTCACGTCAAAGACTTTTCGTTGGAAAAAGGCGATTCATATATTGTTTTAGTAACAAGTTTAATCAAATGGCTTTCTATTTTTCTAAAAGTGCCATTATCTTTTCTCTTCCTTCTTGATGGAGATGTCCTTCGTTTTATTTTATAGATGGTTGATTTTGGAACTTTAGTTAAAAAAAATAGTTTCTCTAATGGCCTCTGATACGGGAAGATCAGACCAGAGTCCTTCATAAACATTTTTCAACATAAATTTTTTCACCGTCATACAGGCATTTAATATTTCTCTTACTTTTTACATGCTCCACTTCCAAATCTTCTAATTGATCAGAATCTTCTTCTATATCGTTTATTGATTCTTCAGCTTCTTGAGTATTATTGTCGCACCAAGGACTCCACATTTTAACAGTGCTCAATATTTTTAATTAGATTTCAAAAATAGGCACCGGCCTTTCAAAATTAATGTTGGTACTAAGTAGGTATTCTATTCAAGCACACACCCACACCCGAGTTGAATAATTTTCCAGACAATATTCACTTACCCCTGTTTCAGAAATTTTTGTCCTTAACACAATTATTTATTTAAGGATATAATCAACAAAGAATATTTATTTGGAAATCACTGTTACATACGCTGCTCCGGTTGTTATACCTTACAGACCGCACTACTCGTTTAGAAAATCTCTACTACTCACTCCTATGTCAGAATTATAATTAACTATAAAAAAAAATACTCAAGTCGTTCAATTTAAGCAATAATTATATAAAAACTATTTAAGACATTTTAAAGGGTGATTATCTGTTTAATGAGATTTGTACCTGAGCTTTATTATCAGCAATTGCTTGGTAATGCATAATTTTTACTAAAAAAAAAAACAAATTTTGGTAGATTTTCTTCGAAATGTTCAAAAAATAATTTGATTTAGACATTGTTATTAAGTAGGTAAATAAATAATCCGTCAATTCTGACTACTACTACTACTACTATTCGAAGTACGATCTTGTAGACCACCTTTAATCTGATCGGGTAGATGGTGGTTTTATAGTTTTCGGGTGACTTAAGACAACGTTGCCACATTAGGTATACCTTTATATTAGGGATAGATTTTCCAATCGAATTTCGTGACGACTATAACTATTTCACTGTGATGAAATAAATCCATCTATTACAGTACTTGAAAAATAAAATATAAGTGTATAATTTGAATATGCAATGAGGACTATACGTACATAAACACATCTACTTTTTAATATTTTCAAGTAGGTGAAAACATGTCCATTGACATCAAAATTTGTTTGTGAGAATGTGACTTGAAACAATATGTAGATTTTGCAATTAAACATAAAACAAACCTATAGTTTTGAAACATTTATTTATATTTGGTAGATTAACAAAGGGGCAATTTTTAAAAATGAACAGTGCAAGTTTTACATCTTTACCACTCGAATATTTAAATATTTTAAAGAAAATCAATAATTTTCAGTTTTTACTCAACATAGTTTTTCTACTGGCAGTATAATGACGTAATTTCTAATATAATTTTTAATGTTATCATTTCAAATACCTTTTAATTGATAAAGTATGTTCTGTAGTTATTTCCTTTTACCCATTATCATTAAATGATAATGAAATACTCCAGTTTTTATTTGCAAACTCCATAAAACATTAAGGGGTCTATTCTGTAACTATAGTTGTTATCTGGAAACTTTCTACCCACTTGCTATCTTACCACTTTCATATCAACTGTATAACAACTTTGACACAATTCTAGTATTCACTATTGCTAAATTAGTCTGCTGTATCATCATACAGTTATGCTACAGATCAAGTTCTTAGAGCATCAAGTTGCTATGATCAAGGTTAGTTGTTGTATTACCACTTTGAGAAAATCAGAATTCTCTAAGTAAAATCTGTAACAACTAGTGGTTACAAAAGTGGATTCAGAGTTATTTGGAAGCAACCAAATATTCTTGATGGTTAAGCGTAACAACTAGTTTGTAAGAAAGAAATATAATGGACCCTGGATAATAAGTATTTTAAAATACCAAGAAATTAAGGGACGGTATATTTACTGATTGAATAATAGATATTAGAACTAAATAGATATATTATTTCCTCTAATGAATGAATGAATCCGTTTATTTAGCCATTGCTATTATATACAATTTTTTTTAATTTACATATTTTTTTTTTGTTATCTTACATAATATACACATTAGTTTAATTTGATTCTCTAAGATATTTACATAATTTTTTGTTAAACAAATTCAAATTGCTAGAGTCTTTTATTTCTTTTGACAGATTATTAAAAAGATGTATTCCATTAATTAGCAACGATCCCATTAAGAAAGTTTTATTTGAAAAATTTATGTAACTAGTAACTCAGATATTTCGGTGTTAATTGATGCATCATTTTATAGATTACAACGAGGGTTGCCATTTTAATATTCTGTTCACTAGAAAGCCAATTTAGGGTTTGTAGCATATTTTTGATTGGAGTGTAAATATTACATTTTAGAACAACTCTCATACATTTGTTTTGGAGTACCTGAAGTCTGCTTACTTGTTCTTTATTACATGAAAGTAAAAGTGACATACAAAAGTTAAAATGTGGATATACAATTGTGTTATAAATAAGATTTCTACTCCATTGAGACAAATTTGAAGCTATTCTTCTAAAGAACCCTATTTTCTTCCCTAATTTCCTACATAAGTAGTCTGCATGACTGTTGAAAGGATCTAAAATAACTCCTAGGTATTTAATCGTATATACTTGTTCGATGGCAATATTGTTTGATGGTTTGATTTAGGAATGAAGTAAGATTTCAGCGATCTGTATATGTAAGGAGGGGTGACCCTCCATGTCACTTAGGCCTCAGTAGTCCCATTGTGCATCCTTTAAGGGAATTTAAGACCTGCCTCTCAGCCCTTCAAAATGTCTGCTGGTTGATATATATTAATAAGAACTGTCTATAGGAACCACCTCTTAGATCATCAAAAGGTCATCATAAAATTGAACATTAATTTTTCCTGTCTTGATGAAAGTTTACAACTACGACATATAGATGAACCTTTTTTTAATTTCAAATCAATCCAGAAACAAAATATAAAAAGTCCCAAATGATAAATTATATTTCAATTAACATCCATGACCGGGAGATATAAACCTTTTGTCAAAATTGTTATATAGGGTTGCTATAAAAATAATACAACTTGTAAGTGTGGTGTAGATCAGGCTTTTAACAACTTAACCTTCGAGTCGGAAGTGCCGGGACGTCAAGTGAAGTGTAATTTTATCATTTGGAAATGGTTACATTTTGTTGGTGGACTGGCTTGAAATTAAAAAAAAAACTTTTAATACAGCAAAATGTAAAATGCAATTTTATCTCAAGCAGATCTGCAGGTAGTCATCCCTATAGACACGTCTCACCTGAAAGACGGCATCTGGAGGATGCACAATGGGGCTATTGAGGCCTAAGTAATGTAAGGGGAACACACCTTACAGATACAGATTTTAAGCAATAAATATAGTAGGCTTTGCTGAAGTCTTACTTTATTCCTAAAACAAATCATTAGAAAAAAATATGATAAGTTCCGATTATCTTATAAATGAACATACCTCCTATTAATTTCCTGATATATTTAAATATTTATTATCCAAAGGTCCATATTTCGTTCTCAGCAACTAGTTGTTATGCTTAACCACCAAGAATATTTTATTTCTTCTGTCACTCGAAATCCACTTTTATAACAACTAGTTACAGATTTTACTTTAGAGAATTCTGATTTTTTTTAAGGTAACCTAACGACTGACCTTGGTCTAAGCCACTTGCTAGCTAGCAACTGCAGGTTACAGAATAGACTACTAAATATTAATTTGTTTTATATTACTCTTGTTCATATGCAATATTTATATTAAATAAAGTTTAATACATTGAATGAAAAATATGAACAAAGGAAACAAAATAATTCTCTCTATATTTCACCCTTGTATAAGTGACGCTCTAAAATATGAGAAATATGGTAGGAATAGTTATTATTGTTTACTGTGGCACTCTGGGTAAACTTAAGGAAAACCTTACCCACTGTCAATAGTTTAATAAAATGTTTATTAGGTGATAACAAATAGAATTGCGAACCGTAACAACTACATGCTCGGAAGATGTATGAAATATATTTAAAACTTTTAGTTTTGTCATCCTGATTGAAAAATCGAGTCACATACTCTAATAAACGAAAAAAAGATAAAAAAAGAAGAAAAATATAAATTAATTATTTTAACATTTAAACATTAATTTCAAACAAACAATTTTTCAGCTTCTCAACTTTTAAATTATTTATTTTTTAGAGTGAACATATGCCCAAAGACGTTGGTTATGATCAATTAATTAAAAAGAAACTAATAAATTTACCTATCGTGAACACATTAACTTTACTTTATAAGGATACAAATATAGATTTCATTAACGATTTAACATCTTTATATTTTGACAATACAACCCAGTTAGATTTTCAATTTAAAGAAATTGAAGAGATGGTTAGTCAAACATTACTGGTAAGTGTATTAGTTACAAATTAAATAGTGATGATGGTCATTGAACATTAATACATAATTGACAATTATTAGCAATTTTTTGTTACCGAATTAATTTGATGCTATTTTTTACATTAATATGTGTTAAAAGAAATATTTGTACCATCTATAAACTTAGTTCTATCGGAATATTTTACTGATAAAATGTTATGAGGGTGATGAAACTTGGCAGGAATGTTGATCAAAATGCCATAACGACATTGTATTTGCTACCTCCAGAGCTGTAGCCGCCATTTTGGAATAATGGCGCCTCTGAATTGCTCGTGTGGCGTGGAAATGAGTTGCAATATGTATTGGTTTTTACAATTTTTTCCTATAACATTATCAGGCACGGTTCGTGAGTTATTGTGCTGCAGGCAAAACCGCACTGGCCCGAACTTAAAGTTTTTTTTTGGAGTACTACACATAAACTAATTTTAATTATTTTTATTTGTTTTTCACTTTTAAATAGAGCAAATAAAAGACACATCCCTTGAGATATCTATTATAGACAATTATTACAAAAAATAATACCTAATATTAAGATAATTCCGAAGATAAATCACTCACCTTTTATGTAGTTACGAGAAATCACTTGTATTTCGCTTGTTTTGCACACGCTTCGCTCAAACGCGCTTCAGTACGATAACTTCACTGCCCTCGTTTCATTGCGCACCAAACTCGTGTTTCTCGTTTATGTGTTCATTGTTTATAAATCAAATCGATTCCTCTGCTCTTCTGGTTGGAGAAATGTTCAATGACCAGCTCATTAAAATTAAAAATACTTCTAATTAAAGGTTTTTCAATAATTAACATTGCTAAAGCCCCCAATATTGGCTCCCGCATTGTGTTTCTTAGAAAATACTTAATTCTTCTGTGTGTAAAGCACCGTTCACTTTCTACTGTAGTCATTGGAATAGTAGGTACATAAAATCCCAATAATTTTACACTCTCTGAAAGCGTTTCACGCAGGTTCATTTCTAACACTGCTATAAAAATATTCAGGACTATATAAAACTTCCAATTCAGATTTAATCTGAATAATTATTTTTAACATATTTTAAAATGTCTTCAGGAAAGGAAATTCATTTTTATATTGAGCAAAATTATTTGTATTAAACAAACGTGAAACTATTAAATGTTCTGTAAAAGTAAAACGACGTGTCAAATTCAGTGTCCATTAATTCCTCCAAACAATATATCATTCTTGTATATGTAGAGTCTACAGTGGCGGCATGTAACCAAAATATTGGGGGCATGCTTATCTCCAAGCGAGTTTGTTATACTCAACCATCCATAGTCTACGTTTTCGTATGGAATGTATGGCAAAGCAAAGCACTTTATTTGTATTTGGATTTTCTCATTTTTCCTGTATGCAATTTATCGAGTCTCGAGTTGCAAAATTTTCAGCCTTCAAAAGGCTAGACCCCCAGTTGAGAAGTTCCGAGTTACAAATGAACCAATGAGAAGCTGTTCTACTTTGAGGTCCCTCTTATAATCGAAAAGTTGAAAGTGCTTGGAACACATATGAAAAATATCTGTTTTAAATTTAACTGCACAACCACTGGCCACTGCTTACTTCTGACAAATCTTTTACTATCGAGGAAAGCGAAAAAAAAACGTCGTCTTTTTTTAATCCTTTGTTTTGATAGTTACTGTTACAATTACCGCATTTTTTTATAAATTTTTTCAATTATACCACTCACGAAAAACAAAGTTTACAATATAATACAAATATACGCTTAAAATGTTATAAATTACTATAAACGACTTACAAACAACTGCAATGTGAATCAGTCGTATGCAATTTACTTCGCGCCAACTCTACTAACTCTACGCAAGACCTTTTTGATTTTTCAAAGAAGTCTGCGCGAACGGTGGCGTCTCATTGAAGCAACAACATTCTTACCAAGTTTCCTTCTGATCACTGGGCTACCTGAAGTTTTCTTTTTTTGTATTGAATTTGTGGCGAACCCTATTTTTTTACGCAACACTTTTTATTTTTTAGATTCTAGAAATGATAGGGGGACATTTATGTGGCTTCGATAAAGATGCAGTTATAGTACCTATAGCGATAAGTCCTAAACCGCCAGTATTTAATTTATCTTGGATTTATTCAGTTGTCAATTATTTACTACATACTATGGCCCTATTAAACACACTTTTACTATTTTATAAACCTGCTATAGAAATATGTATAGAAAAAGACTTACCTTTTAGGTAGGTTTATTTTCTCGACTTTTAAATTTGAGTTTAATTTAATTATTAGGCGCCACAGTCACCAAAAATGTTATTTAAAAAAAATGCTAAATTTAATTTTTGTTACTGTAAATCGCAATATATTTTTAATACCATTTAAAAAATGTTGTAGACTACCTTTCGCTTATGTTAATATTTATCGTGAACTGTATGAATTGATGGAAAACAGAGAGGAACTACAGTTGCAACAAAACCTCACCGAACGTATATTTGATGAAATAAATTTTGGTCGTTCTGAATTCATTGATGTATATCATACGTTCGTGTCTTATTGTTTGGACAAAACTCTCGAATGCATGTAAGTGTTAGTTAATAATCATCTGCATCTTTATGTCTGTATATGTATCATTTGTATATTTTGTGTTTTAAAGTTTTGTTCAGTTCTTAAATTTTATTTTGGGGCATATATCTTGAATGTTTTCAGATCCAACTATCCATGATATTATTGATTCATATTACATTTGCTGAAAATATGTTTTGTTCCTAATTGTACAAGCACTGATGAAGAAAATATCGATCTTTTTTAGTTCAAACAGTTTTATTTGCTTATTTTGAAGGAGCAATTTAAAATTCAATTATTTTAATTTTTCAAGATAACTAACTTTAAAATTACAAACGCACTTTCAAAAAATTACTGGATTTGTTAAACTGGTGACAAAACTTAAAAGAAAGACATTATATTAGTGTGACATAATTTGGGATCAATTCCATGTTCAGTAGCCTAGCTGTACCAAATGATATGTTGGTTTGTACGAACTTTTACTTTTAGGGGCGATGATAAAAAGCAAGAACATTTAGTTGAGTTATACTTGAAATTGTTAACTACCGCCCTTGAAGATGATTACTTTATATGTGATTACAATTTGAAATATAATGTTGCTAGCCAAAATGAAATGTTTGAAAGTTGCACAGCGTTGTATCCTTTTCATACTATCATATTTTAGCAGATATCTAGTTAAGTACATATAACAATATGTATAGTCCATCCAAACAATAAGTCAACTATAAAGGAATACCGCAAACGCAAAAAAAGTTCGGCACCTGTTTGAATAATTCGAAAAAAAATTGGTATAGGGAACGGGTTGCTTGTCGGAAGTCAGCTAAACTAACTCTTTTATAGACCGCCCATAGACGGAGATATATGTTTTTACTTAATAATTTAATCATATGTACGTATTATAGGTATATGTTTCTTTCGATTTGAAGATTTAAAATAGTAATTTTTTATATACATATATACCTAATTAGAATAAAATAAGTAGGATTTATAACTGATGTTTTCCTTCAACGATTTCAGTGTTTTTGATAAAATTTTGCATTTTTTCTCCAAGAAGCGTGAATAGCTTTGTCGGTATACTGCCTCTGTTAGTATATTGTTTTTGGCGGTGTATCGCCTTTGATGGCTATTGCCTTTGTCGGCTATTGCCTTCGTCGGCATATTGTCTTTGTCGGCATATTGTCTTTGTCCATTTAAAAAGCCGAACCAATGCCGAAAAGGAAAATGAAACGTATTTGAATAAAAATAATTGGTTTTACTTTCAGTAGAGTTTTGTTAATCTCAGTGACCTGTTGAGTTTTGTACGGAAAACAGCTCCTGCATCGTACTTTTTAAAATTTTATAGAATATTAGTTTGTTTTATTAGTGTTTAGTTTTGTTTTATCAATAATCAGTTTGTGTTTTGGAGGTTATATAGTAATTTTAATAAACGAATAATAATTTTTGTGTGTGTGTTATTAACTATGTGGAGACCGTGGGATAGTATTCCGAGCACCAGTACATCAAACAGTGATGGAGAAACTAATGCAGTGCCTAGGTACGCAAATAAAAAATAAACTCTTTTTAAATGAACAGTCCCAGCAAATTTGTTTAAATGTTTATAAAAATTTGTTAAAACGTGGATATATCGAAAACACTTCTACCGTGCAAGAAGCAGCGTTTCTTACTGGTATATCGGTTTATAAAATGAACCAAATTATAAAAAATGGAATTTCCAGCAGAAAAGTCCGTGAAGACAAAGGTGTGCAAAAAAAATTAGATCCATCCATGGCCAAATCCATTGTGAATACAGTGTATGAACTTTATAAACAAAATACCATTCCCACTCTTGATATTATACATAGACGTTTAAGTGAAACTTATTTCGATACAAATATAAAAAAGTCTACATTGTATAATTGGCTAAAAAAAATCGGTTTTAAATACAAAACGATAGATAAAAGAAGCGCAGTGATGGAAACAAGACGAATAGTAAACTGGAGAAATTCTTATTTACAGAAAATTCGTGAATATAAAAATGAAAGCAGGCCAATTTATTTTCTGGATGAAACGTGGTATGATTCGCATGATACTGCAAAAAAGGGCTGGACAAACGAAAATAAATAATGCCAAACCTTAGGTATCCCTCCAAATAAAGGCACTCGACTGATAATATTAAACTGTGGCTCAGAGGACGGTTGGGTTGACAATGCCTTACTATTAATTGGAAAAAAAATTGATAGCTGCCAGATTGATTACCATTCAAATATGAATTCCGATATTTTTGAAGAATGGTTTACAAATTCACTGTTGCCTACTTTAAAGCCAAAAAGTGTAATAGTTATGGACAATGCTTCATATCACTCCAGGCTTAAGGAAAAAATACCTAATAAAAACTCTAAGAAAGATGAAATTCGAGAATTTTTAATGAATCACGATTTGTATTTTGATGAAAAATATAAAAAAGATGAACTTTCGGAAGTCCTAAAAACTAAAAATTTTGAAAAAAAGTATATAGTTGATGAAATTGCAGCTGAAAGAGGTCATACAGTTTTAAGGTTACCACCATATTTTTGTATTTTCAATCCTATAGAATTACTCTGGAGCCAATTGAAACAAAATATTCGGAGAAAAAATATATTTCCCAAATTTGATTCTCAGGTCGTCAACTTGATCAAAGAACAAATGGATGCGATCGGAAAATCGCAGTGGGAAGCAGTTATAAAACATGTGTATGAAATAGAAGAGGAATACAGGAACAACAGCGGCATACACGTAAATAATGGAGAACGATTTATCATAAATCTCAATGAGGATGACGACGACGATGATATAATTAGCGATAACGAGAAGGAAGACGAGGAGCAGGAATTTGGGAACAATGAGAAAATCTGAGTTAAATCAGCAATATGTAAGTAACATTTTATTTTATAAGTCGGTCTATGTTTAGGTTATTTCTACATTTACTTTGTAATTTTAATTTTAAAATATTTTTTATAACTAAATTATTAAAATGTTGACGTTCGTATTCGTTTACTAATCGAGAAGTCACTTGGGAAGTAACCCAACCAGTAGAGATATGTTTGCAATACAACCAATTAAGTCAATTATTTCCTACCTATTTATATCTATAAGAAGGTAGGTATGTCATGCAGAATTGATATAAAATAAGAAACCTTTATTTCGAAAGAATTGGAAATGCATTAATTAAAATATTTATTCCAGAGACGGCATTTTATTTTTCTGAAAAAAATTATACAGGGTGTTAAAAAAAAAGTGTCACAAAATAAAACGGGGGGCCAAAATATGCAGAAAAGTCTTAATAAACATATGTCCGCAAATGAATGGTTTCAGAGATGTGTTTTGTATCATTTTTTGATTATCTTTTTTCATTCTCAAAAACTTGCTTTTCTTATCGGAGTCTACCGATGTTTTTTCATAGATACTATTTGCAGTTATTATTTTGTTGTGGGTGAATAATTTTATAAATTTTCGTTATGCCTGTTTATGAATTAGCTGACATGCATTTTATGTACGGTCGTGCAAATGGCAATGCATTAAAATGGAGGGAGGGCACTTTGAACATCTCATTTAACTCTATGTTGTTATTGATTGTTTATAAATATCATTGTTTTTTTATAATAATAACAAATTGTTATAAACACAAAATGGTCCGTATCTCCGAAACCGTTAATTTGCGGTCATATATTTTTAACACCCTGTATACCGACAGTCGATAATTTCAATAGACACTTTGCATTTGGTATATATTTATATCAGTTTTTAATTTTGTATCATATACTTGGAACGCAGTACCTATATTTCTACTTGTAGGTATATTGTTCATAATCGAATCCTCAAATTGATTGATTATTAATCTATTTTTCGCTTTGTAAAATTATTTATTACATCTATTTTATATAATAAATCGTAAAAATTGAAATATATGGTAATAATTAATGTTTAAAATACTCCAACCAATTAAATTAAATAATAAACTGACTTAACGATGCGACAACACTTTTGACTACAATGCCGCTCGACACGATATTCCAGTCTGTCTACACAGGTTATCAGTTCATTTCAGCGACGTAGAGAGAAATAATAAACTGGACTACTATATTCCAATTCGGAGTTGAGTTAATAATTTTTAGTATTAAAATAAGTGTATTACTATCGTCCAGGGGCCTAATAATGACATACTCCTGGTAGAGACTCCTTTTTAGATGTATTCATACATAATATTTAGTGAATTTTTTTTGAAGCATCTTCAAACGGAAGCCGAACTTTTTTTTCCATTATCGGTATTTCTTTGTAGTTGACTTATTGTTTGTATGGACTATACATAATATAGTTTATGTCATGTTTTTCTTAACTTTGTATTAAGAGATGCAACTCGGACTGAATTCATAACTTCTTGCATAAACAAACTTCCGAGGCAAAAGAAGTTACAACAGTTATCTTTACTAAAAAAACAAACTATCGAAGATGTTTTCAAGCGATTCAAACCTCCGGAATTGGAAAAAGAAGAAGAGCCGGTTACAGAATCGTTTAATCAACCTGCACAGCTAGATCAGAATAAAGTTGAAAAGAAAATCAGAGACATTGTCGAATTGTTTCCACATTTAGGAGATGGTAATTCTTATTTTTTTTATATAAATGTAATATAAAGGAACTTTTAAAAATCTTGAAACGATTCTTGTAATATCAAATATTTATGTTTTTTTCAGAATTTGTTTTAAAATGCCTTGAAGCGTACAACTATAACGACAGTGACGTTATTCTTGCTATTTGCGAAGAAAACTTACCTCCTCATTTGTATGAAATTCCATTTGATTCTATTAGGATTCCACCCGAACCAGAACCAGAAAAACCCGTGTTGGCCTATCATGGCAAGAAACCTGATTACGATGACGCCCTCAAATTGCTTAACAATAAGAAAGACATCAAAGAATTGAAGTCGTTCATCTTAGAAGGAGTGTAAGTTTATTCCAAAACTACACTGATGAAATAAATTATTTATTAAATAACTATTTTAGGCAATATTCTAATGATTACCTGTATGATGATGAATATGACGATCGAGACGATGACAATATGCCTATAAATGTAGCAGATAATCCGGTTGAAAAAGAAGTAATAACCTATAATCCCAACTACAAAGAAGTTGCTAACGATTCAAGTGAATCTGAAGAAGATGAGTATGTTAAAACAAATGGAGGCCCTGGTACTAGTAGTGATAGGTAAAATCAAATTAAATCACAGGGCTTAATTTTTAATGTAACCTGCTCTTCTGAATTTATTTATTATTCTACAAATGGAGCAGTAATAAGGATAACTTAAGGCTCTTGCTCAATTCTGTTTCTAAAATTTACCAAAATGATTGAGTTTCTAGACTAAAACCCTGTCGAAAGCTTCAACAAATTGAAACCGTTTTTGCCTAATGCTTTTTAATACATCAAGACTGATTTATCCGCATTTTAAAGACGATATTAACCTTTTACTAAAGATTGATAAACAAATCCTTGCTTGTTGGTCCCAAAAAATAATCTCATGTATGCTCTGTATATGTGAAAAATCATCATTCTTTACATTATAACATACTAGGGCTAGGAATTTTTCAGATTTTATATTCGAATATTCGTTTGAAATTTTATTCGAATACCCAAATTAATCACTATTCGAGTATTCAAATATTTGAATATTCGATTAACATATAATTTATACCTGTTTATTTTGGTATGATGCTTGATTCTTAAATGATTCTACAAATTACTGGTATTACTTCTGTGTATGACATTATAACTACATAATTTACACTGCCCACGATTATATGTTTTATTGAAGTAAAGCCAAACCCTACTGCGTTGTGAACTCATATTTAACACCTGTAGCGGGCAGCGTAGACAGACATACACACATTAGGAATAAAATAACTAGTAAGTTATAACTAAACAAAAACAAACAAGCGTGTGAGAATAGGAAACAACGTTGGGGATTCCCCTCATTTACCAATTAAAACGCCAGCGATACCAGTAAATAAATAAATAAAATGTTGTAATAGTCCCGTTTCTCAAGTCTGAATTTTGTTGATCGTTTTTCTTCTATATTTATTTTCAAGCAATAAATGAAGGAGAAACATTTAAATTATATAAATAAATTCAAATAAAATCTCCGAGTATTCGAACATCCACAGTATTCCGATATTTAAGTATTCGAATATTCGAGTATCAAATGCCTAGTTGAATTAGTCGAATATCGAGTATTCGAATAATTTCGTTCTAAAAATATCGAATTTTGAGTATTCAAATATTAGAATTAACCGATTACAATTCCGAGCCCTATAAAATACTACAATTTATTTAATAATACAGTAATACTTTTTTGCGTCATGCTTACCTGTTATTTTTTACCAGAATTTATTGCCCACCACATAAGGATTTTACTAATTATGTCTACTCCTATACATAGTCTTAAATAGAAAATGCCGAATTTGTTAAACTCCCTATTATGTACGTTGTTAAATATTTCTTTTAATTTTTAGTAGTCTGTTGCTAAATTTTATACTGTTCAGTTGAAAAAAGTAGTTTGTAAAAATTAAATATTTTTTTCAGAAACGATCTTTGTGATACTGAAAGATTATTAATTTCAACTACATTAGTTAGTACACGATTGTAGGTCCAGTGTTTTAACAAACATTTTGATAAATTTCGGTTCGGGATCAAACCGTCACACTAGTTTGAAAACTTTTCTCAGATTAACAGTTTGAGCTGCACAGATTGCAGATAAACATTTTTTAATTTGGCTTTGTGAGCAATATGTTTATTTCATTGATAAAAACATTTTGGGTGATTTTTTTTTTTTTTTTTTATGAAATAATTGAGGATTTTTCTTCACACAATACTTTCAAATCTGATGAAATACAACTGAAGATGATTTAGTAGAGGCATTTATTATGTGAAATAAGTTTTTATAGAATATTTTTGAGTAAAATAAATGAAATTGATATTTAGTCTAGGATGCATTAATAAATTTTTATAAGTAAACGTCAAAACTAGTTAGAATTTATAAAATACAATAAATGGATAGGCCGTGGTTTTCAATTCTGGTCAACTTTCTACTTCGAAATCTATAGGACAAAGAAGCTATATATATTTAGGTCAAAAATTGTTTAATTACTTACCACAAAGAGCAAAAGAGGACGCTTATTATAAAACCTTTAAAAAACAACGTTTACTCTTTATAAAAGAAAGTGAAAGAACAGATATAAAATAATAGAGTTGAACAAAAACAAAATAGAAAATATAAATGATCCTTATCTGCTCTTTCAATGTTTCTAATTAATGTTTTATATAGTGTAGTAAAAATAAAGTAAAAAAAAAACAAAAAATAAAAAATTAGATTAAAAAAAATTATAACTTGAAATATGTATTGTATAAAAGTTTAATTTAATGTGTTTGTGAAATATAGTACTTATTTTTTCGCGTTAGGCACACGACTTGTATAAAAGTTAATAAAATGGTAACAGGGCAACAGCCAGTCGTCGACTAGAATTGAATTGGTGAGTTCGAAAAACGTACAAGTCCAAAATTGGACATTTTAAAATTTGTCTCTTCATCAATTGAGTTTAAAAACCGTACTAGATACCTATCCGTTAACGTAGTACAGCTGATTACACTCGTGAAATTAGGCGAAAAACCGTACATATTCGTGACTCGTTAAAAGGTTTTTATTGTTTTTCTCGGAAGGCTGATTTTGGATATGTACTGTTTTCGAACTCACCGATTCAATTAGAAGATTGGTGGTGGGATATTAGCCGAACCGAATGTTGGCTGTGAAAACACGGCTATGCCTAATGCAAAATAATAAGTACTGTATTTAAATATGTTCTATTATTTTCATATTTGATCATTTCTTGTAGGAATAGAATGAACTTCTGCGAAGACCCGGCTCTAATTCGGGAACGACGTGAGGCCAAATTTAGAACGCAGCATCGACCTTCTAACCAAAACGCGCAACCTAAATCAAACGTTGTCGGTAAACCAAAAGGACAAGGACAAGAAAAGGATGTCCTTAAAGCGAGAGATAAGAAAAGTGTTAATAAATCATCCAGGGCTAATCACAGCAGAAAAAGTGGTGCTCAGTTTAAACGAAATAGGGGCATGATTCCGATGTGATGTGATTTTTAGTCTGAAACATGGCTGACGAATTCAAAGGGCGTAGATATGTTCCTAGGAGGGAGACTATTACAAACGTAATAACTTGGAATTTAGAATGTGTTTAACATCACACTTTGGTATTTTAATTACTTATTACAAAATTTAGTAAAGAACTAATTCTTATCAAGAAACCAATGTCCAAAAATGTTTAATTTTAGAAAGGGCAGGTGCGTGTTTGCAACGCATGAAAAAACTAGCTTAATACAAAATTTATTATTTAACCAACAATTTGGTTTTTTATTTTGGCAAGAACATGACATGAGATTACTCCTATCCTATATATCTACTCTCTTATTGGTTCAAAACGAGACGAATTGTTATTTTAAGTTTTTTTTAGAATCCGTTTTTAAGTTATTTTGATTCTACTTTTTTAGAAAGAATGATTAGCACTAGAAATCCATGTAACAATACTGACAATTTTAATGAACGATATAAGTGAATTCTTTTCAAGTATTCTGAATTACATTGAAAACGTACTAGTCATTCTATTTTCTCCGATTTATTATTATTAACCAAAATGTCTTTAATTCTCAAATGTTCATTGTTTTTATGCAAAATAATTTATTTTCTTAAAGTTTACAAAAATAAATTGTATACATTATTTTACTTTTATTTTCTTTCTAATATTCCATCAAATTTGATCATTGACTCACCTTATCAGGTTCACTTCGCGCTTCTATATCTACAGTTAAACAACGTCGACCACGGTTAGTACTTGTGTGGGTGGCATCTGGTAGTCACAGAACAGCTGGGTAATTGTATAATTTTGTTCATTCCTCCCTACTTACACTGTATTTAGGCGCTTAAAATAAGATGTAGGTGTGCAAAGTTATACAAAATATCGCCGGTGTCGTTCTAATACCTCGTAAGCCCAAAAGTAACATTTTACAGGAGAAGCCAAAAACTGTTCTGTTTATTTATTACTATTACTATACGAGGTATTAGAAAAGTTAAAGTTTTAAAAATTTTGTGGGCTACGAGGTTTTCTGTAATGGTAAATATGGGTAACCGCAACAATTTGACGTAAAAATTTCATTTTTGTCAAAATGAGGGTTACGAGGTATTAGAACGACACCGACGATATGTTTTTTCCTGGAATTCAAAAAACCGTTAAATTATTGTTGCTATGGGTCGGAGCCGGCTTCCGATTTGTAAAAGATACAATGTACTGAATGAATAATAAAATATATTGTTGTTCTTATGTTTATTATACAGTGTGTCGCATTTAAGATGAAGACACCGCTTTATTTTGGCTATCTAAATAATAATATAATAATACTCTCCCTATTTCACCCCCTTACGAGTGAATTTCAACCCCTTAAGTCGACTGAACGACTTGTGTAGGGGAAGGGACGGCTATTATTATTATTTGCCGTGCCGCTCCGGGGCGACTTAAGGATGATTGATGGTGCCATTTGACTTACAGGTGAGGAAAACCTCACCCACCATCATCGAGACGATAATGTATGGCGATTTTATAATCTGCATGTCATATCAACAGAAATTGAATTTCCATTAATACGGCACACATCAAATCCTAAAGCGAACCATGCAATTTAATTAAAAATCCACATGGTCTGGTCTGGGATTCGAAGCCCAGCAGTCTCGGACTCATAAACTCGCCTATAAATGAATATAAGCGCGATAGACCGCTACACCATCGACCCGAAATAAATACAGATTTGAAGTTTTGCACAGTCATACAGGGTGATGGTTCACATTTTTCAAGATACTCAACTGAAATTTAAATTTTAAACGCGGCCTTCTGCTAATCCACAAACTGTCAATTTTCGATATTTTTTTTCGCGTTAGAGATAAAGTTATTTAAAAAAGTTGTTCAGAATATTATTCTAACCCCACGTATCAAATTTCATGACAAAATTCGCGTTTTTAGTTTTGATTATTTTGGTCAATACACAAAATTATTAAGTTTATATTTTTTATTCGATAAACTAGTGTGCCATGGAAAGGAATAATTTGACACTTGTGAAATCATTAATGTCAATCAGACTTTCAGTTTAGCGTAATTCGTGTAATTTAAATTCTTCAGTAAAATAAATAGACTAACACAAACGAATAATTATTTTATTTTAAGAAAACAATAATTTTCAGACGGTACCTGATTAAATTTAAGAACATAATTAAAACAATAATTTTCATAGTACAATTGACAATTTATCAAATGTTATTTCGCTCGACTAGTCCTCCATTTATTCGAATACATTTTTCAATTCTTTTACGATTATGTCTGGATACTCGTCCAAGTTCTGGGATGCCGATTTCTTGACAGGCTTGTCTTATTATGGCACAAAGTTTATCTCGATTTCTGGGCCATGTTTTATAAATTTTATTATTCCCCAAAAATAGTGGTGTAATATCGGAGGACAGGGTTCAAAAGGATTGTTTCTTCCTATCCAGCGCATATGAAATTTTGTTAATGGATGCACCATCTAGCTAGAAATACATATCCTGTCGCACATTGATAGGAAGATTTTCTATAGCATCCCATAATTCCACATCAAAAAAGTTAACTAGACGACCAGAATTTAATGATTCATTAAAGAAAAAAGGACCTATTATTTGGTCTCTCAAAATTCCACACCAGACATTGACTTTCTGGAAATATTAATCTTTACAATTCATAACCCAGTGGGTATTATTTCTGACCTAATATCTACAATTTTGAGATGATACAACGCCATTGGTGGTGAATGTAAGAACTTTGGTTTATAGGGCTTGATTTTGTGACGGATGAAACATCTTCTGATTTTATCCTTAGGCTCATGTGTGGATTTGCTGCCAGTATATCGCGTTATTCTCAGGATGCGGGTGTATTCGCCGAGGTTGGCCATTCTAATGGATTTTAATAACACTGCCAGTTTCATTGAAAAGAGCATTTATAGCACGTTGCGGATGTCTCTTGTTAAACTCTGCAACAACTTCTCTGCTAGTACGAGCAAAATTGCCAAACAATCGGATTATTTCGATTTTTTCGTTTAAAGTCAACGGCATATTAATACGGTTTTTACTAAACAGAACTCAATGTAATAAACTGAAAGTCAAATATGATTGACATTAATGATTTCACAAGTGTCAAATTATTCCTATCCATGGCACACTAGTTTACCGAATAAAAAACATCAACTTTTAATAATTTTGTGTGTCGACCAAAATAACGAAAAAACTAAAAATGCGAATTTTGTCATGAAATTTAATATGTGGGGTTAGAATAATATTCGGAACAACTTTTTAAAATAACTTTTTCTGATATCCCTAACGCGAAGAAAAATATCGAAAATTCATCATCTTTGTGGATTCGCAGTAGGCCGCGTTTAAAATTTAAATTTCAGTTGAGTATCTTAAAAGATGTGAACCATCACCCTATATGACTGTGCAAAACTTCAAATCTGTATTTATTTAGATAGACAAAATATAGGGGTGTCTTCATCTTAAATGCGACACACTGTATATTATTTATACGGGGTGGATTATGTGGTTTATAGAGTAACTCAAGTACCTGTGAGAAAATATTCTTGTAATTTTTTGAACAAGACCCGTAGCAAGGCTGGGACAACCTGGGCACCCAACAAAGAGAACCCCAAAAAGAATACATGAAAATTAAAAATGTACTTTTTGTATCTTCCTACATCCTTTCGTTTCCTTCACCTACTAATCAAAATTGTAGTTTCATTTTTCTACAAAAAGTGACGATATTCTATTAACATTAATAGCAAACTTGGTTAGGTACTCTACAATAATGGGATGCTTGAAAACAAAACTAATTACGGTCAAGCTTGTTGTGTTGTAACTATTAATGACACGTCATAAATTGATTGATTTGATGAATGGAAAAAATTGAATATGCACAGACCTCGGCAGTGGAAGTTGGTTTTGTTGCGTCGTTCAAATTTTAACGTGAAACAGAAATGTTTCAAAGATTTTGCACATTATCTTGTGAATACATAGGTTGTCAAATCGTCGGGTTATTGCCAAAACAAGATAAGTACTTTTTTTTTTATTTTTGAGTTGTGCATGTCTAACCATAGAAAAATAATGTCTAACATTAAAACTGTCTAAACTATATGTACTGTCAGAGCCAGATAATTGTATAGTAGAAGTTGTAAAGGCTTTTGCCAGTTGCAAATCTTTGCCTACTTCTAAAGAGGTAAAAGTTTTAGTTCCAAAGCCAGCAGCTGAAGATTCTGATATAGAAGAACTTCCTTTAGGAGAGCAGGATAAATGAAACAGGTATATCCAAAAGAAAATAAGTACACAAAAGTGTTTTTTCTCCTAAATGCTTTGGTAGTTTTTAAGTTTTATGATAAATTTTTTTACTGTTTAAATATCCAATTGCATTAAAATTCAGTTCCTAAGTAAAAACCAGAGTTAACGAGGAGATGTAACTATTAACAAATATCGTGCGGTCCTGAATAAGTCATATTCTAAGGAACACAGGCGGGTATAATATGTCATGTATTTTGTTTACAAAATTATTTACATGTATTAAAAAAGCTAAAATAATTCAACATATTTTATTGCAACTGAACCCAAAAAATGTTGAATCATTAGTTATATTAAATTTAACTAAATTAGATTTAATAATTTTCAATAAATTCCAAAACCTAGTGATGTTAGGTTGGAAGTGGCAACAGGGCTTACACCGGCATGGAGATTTACGTTGTTTATTATAAGCGCACAGCGGCTTACACATTTATTCATTGATAAAAATAAGTTGTATCTGCGTAAAATTCTTCTCTTTATCCCTTCTCTTACTTCTCACCTTTCGTCGCCTCGCCGCGTCCCTACAGAGTGTATCGATTGTCGAATTAATCTCGGCATCGTGAATATTATATTGTATCAATGAATGGTTATATCTATCTCTGGTAAAAATGGAGTTTTTCTTCTATACCTGATTTTCCTCAAATGTTTTAAACATTAATAATTCAAAACTATAAAAATGTAACTTATCTTGTTTTGGCAGTAACCCGATGAAATACGCTTTCATATTATATGGACAACTCGTTTTACAAAATTGTGATAAACCTCCTTGATTTTTCTTTCTGGAAGGAATTGAAATCTAAAAATACAAGCATCCCTAGATATTAACTAATTTATTTTCTCAAAATTTGAATGTTTTACTATCGAGATATCCTTGGCCGAAAATTATAAGATGTGCTATCTTAAATGTTCATTGGAATGTGGACCTATCGCTTTGAGTAGGGCGCTCTAGCATCAAAGCACAGCTCTCATTCCAAAGAACTTCGTAAGAAACATCATATTCTTCAAGCGGTATAAAATAAAACTACAAATTCTTCAATCAGTTCTATTATAAAATGTACAAATTAGGTTAATAGTAAAAGTACTCACAAAATGCTTATTACTTTGCTATAAAAATATTTACTAAAAACAAAAACAAAATGAGGTATATGAATTCTAATCTAAGTGACGGTTGAAAAAAAATCTTCAAGAATTTTCGTGAACCTTTATATAAATTTATATACTTTTAGTGGAGATATAATTTGTGGAAGATTTTTATTTTGTGAACGCTTTCATTATTTTGAAATTTATTCTCAAATTTAAAAATCAAATTGACACCTTTAGAACAAATAAAATGAGAATTTTTTGAAACTTTTAAAACGGGCATTATGGAAATAATCACAATATGTAGGCCTGGCGTTAACTTTTATATGAAAGCATTCAAATGATTTGCATAAAGTTTAAAATTTCTGATAATTCCGCAATTTGGAAAGCGGATATTTGAAGGCACTTAATATATGCACCTACTATCATTTTATAGACATTATTGCCGTTTTTTAATAGTACTTTCTACTACCTATTTCTAATTACAAAAGTCTATTTTACAAAAATTGTTGCATTTTTAGTTTTTAACAATTAAAAAAATATTACTATGTCTTAAAAATAACAATAAATAAATTATATTCAGAAGTTTTAACGCTACCTTTTTACAAAAAAAGTTTAAAGAGGAATTTTTTATAGAGGTAAAGTTTTTTTTTATTATTGTGAGGTTGAAATATAATTGACCATGTTTAACACACAATATATTCTGAACTAAAAGTTTTGCTTAAAGCCCCTCGAATTTTAAATATAATTTTCATTGTGTTGAAGAATTGATTGCCGTCTTATTATTGCTACAAAAGTTGTAACATAAATTATTAATAGTTGATAAGGTAAGGTAAATCTGTTTCATTGAAAGAAAATAGGATTTGTCAAGAATTCAAATTTTAGAAACAAGAAAGAAATCAATTTTATGACAGGCATTTGAATGTTAAGATACTTTGATACAAATAGTTGAGTGTTTAAAAAAATATAGTGTACATCAAAATATTTTTACACTAGACCAATACAAAATAAAGATTTGATGTCTTCAGGAGGGTTCCAAGAAAGTGACCGGCTTTACCTAGCTATGATTTTTATTATTTAATAATTTGTAATATTAAATTCCAATATTTGTCATTTTTAAAGCTGCCATGTTATGTATACTGCCAAACGTCCATAATATATTGATTTCCGTCATTTTTAGTTATATTCCTCTTAAAAAAATTCTTAGATATCAGTATCTAAAAAGTTAGGCATTATATTTTATTTATAAATACACCATCTATTTTCATCCAATCTCGAAAGAAATGCATTGGCAGATTAAATGTATAAAGGTTGGTGCTAATCTTAATAGTAAAATCCGTGTTTTTTTTGATATTATATTCTTTAAAATACCAGAATTATTGGAAAACAATTTCAATATTTAAAATGTAAAAATAGATACATTGAGTTTCAAGTTAGAATAAAAAAAATTCTATTCTAATAAAAAAAATTGAAAGATCTGTTTCATGTTTTTTGTATGTAGTACTTTTAAAACACAGTGATAGTTAAAAATATATTACTTTTAACATAATATTCGTGATTATTTTCGTTTTCAAATATGTTAATTCAAGGATGTAATATAGTTGGGAACTTATGATCTTTTAAAAAACTACTGAAATTTGCACCAATCTGAATAACTCTTACAGAATATACCTAATAAAATAATATACAGAAGGCGGCATTATCAGTCCATTTATATTTTAAGTAAATATGAACCCAAGGAGCACCAAATCATATAGATACAAGATTCGGATTCAATGAAAAAAAAAAAAAGTAAAAATAAAATTACAGGGTTTATGCAACTTGTGTCATGTCATTTGTGAACTATTATGTTAAATGAGTTATAGGTGTTTCCACTCCTGTTTAAAAACAATTTTTGTATTCTTTTTATATTCAGAAAACAACGAAAGTTAAAAAAATATGTATTTTTACTTTTAACAAACTTTAATTAAAAAACAATCAATTCCTAAATTCCATTAATATTAAAAGACAAATTAATAAACATTTATGTAGTAAATAGTAGTAACAAAATTTTTTCTTTTGAATTGTTGAAAACATTAATCTCAAAATAACTATATATTTTTTTTACATTTCTTGTAGATATCTGACTCATTGGTGTTACCTGGGCCCACTAAAGAGGAGCCTGAAATGCCTAAATATTACAAAATTTTGTCTTACCAATAATAATAAAAATAAAAAACGGAAAAACATTCAACAACAAAGAAAAAATAAATTATTTATAATAAAAAAAAAAAACTTAAAAAATCCGTAGTTATAATTAAATAGTAGTGTTAAAGAGACTTATTAATAATAAATAGTTTTTTCTTTAGTAATGTTAGAAAATAACGTAAAATTAAACTCAGTCGATTGGCTTCACTTGGGCCATTATTTTTCCTTCCCACAACGGAAGTACCTCCATATCGTTACTAACTTCCTCTTGGATCACTTGGTTGCCAAGTTCTTCACATAGAGTTTTGAAAAAGTACCTGAAATAAACACATTTATATGGCATGCCATTATACTGGGCCATCAATGCAATCAAACAATAATAATAGCCTGCACAAGTATGACCCAAATAGTGATGTAAAGGGGGGGAACGTTCCCTTCGTGATGTAGGGGACGTTCGCAAATTACTCATCATGCTACGGCTGTGGTAGTAAATTCCCTTGTTTTACTTTGACATTTGATTTAGTTAACACCTTAGAGCATATAAGACTAGAGGTGTTACTCAAATGGGTTTGTTATATACTGAGGGGGGTAACCCCTTCGGTGTTAGGTACACGACGCGTTATGATTGGCGAGTTACGATTTTTTTTTTTTTTGAGAATTGGCATCTAAGCGAGTTACGATTGGCGAATTAGCGCACGTATTTGTGATAAATGACATTTCATTAGACGTCTTGTTTTGGTTTTTAAAAACATGGGTGTTTGGGGCTACTGAAGAAAATTTGGACGAGGTGTCTCTTTTATAAACTTCTAAAGTGCGTTTTTATTTTAAAATAACTGCTAATCATGCCGAGAGTTTGTATAGTTTGCAATAAAAAATTCTTAAAAGCATCCCGGATGACGTTTCACAAGTAAGTATTCTATATTCCATAAACGTAACTTAAAGTGGGAAATAGGCAAATTAATAAGAAAACATGTTTGCAGAAAGTTCTTTATTTGAGCATCACCGCAACTGGTTGCGTTCGACAGAAAATAATTGTTTCCTTTGCGATATAATGCTTAATGTATTAGTCTTTTTGTGTATTGTAAAATGGATTAGATACCTTTTTGTATTGTACATATTTATTTGCCATTAACTTTTTAAATCTTTTTTTTTTACTTATTTCAGATTTTCTACTGATCTCACAACCAAATTGGCTTAGTGTCAAGTGCTCAGTTTGAGCATTAATACCATGTCTAACAACACATATCTATATTCAGACCACTTTTTAACTGAACATTATTATAAAGGTAGCAATAGATTAAAAAAAGGAGCTATACCAGAAGCTGTACCTATACCTGGCTTTCGAAATGTGAAGCTGTACCTGTACCTGGCTTTCAAAATGTGTAAGTTTTTTCCATTATAACACTAGAAGTAATGTAATTAGATATTCATATATATGTGACTTTCGAAACACACCTATTTCCTTATTTTGTTAAATAGTAAAAATGTAAGTATTATTATTACATTATTGTTTACAGGCTTGAAAGTAACGACAGTAAAGAAAATATGCCCTTATCTCAGTTCCCAACATTGGGAATTTTGAAGTTGGAAAAAAAAGATAGAAGGCTAACGAAAAGGTATGATTAGCTCTTACATTTTTAAAAATCAAATGAAAATAAGCAAGACGGAACTTCAATCTTTAACTCTCTTTAAAAGACAAAACATTGTTCAAAATTTGATAAACTAATCACCTAAAACCACAATGTCTGTAAGCTCCCATTCATCTACACTAACTGTTTCTGAAGGAGAAAGAGAACTTATAAAAGAAAAAAGGTTTGTTAGAGTCAAATAAGACATTTTCTCATATAATCAAGCATTATTATGATTCCAGGAAAGCAATACCTAAGAAAAAATTTCAAGCATATAGTAGCGTTACTCAAATAGCCCTGGTTACTGAAAGTGTGGTCCGCGGAGCCCGGGGGCTTCGCGAAGAAAATACTAGTCATAACAAAAAAAAGCAGTACTATCGCTTGGCTTGAGGACCTTAGCTTTTTTTTTTTAGAAGCCAGTAAGAGAAAGGAGTATATTATGATTTTGGTATTTTGGATGGAGGACCTTTTTTTTAGAAGTCAGTAAGAGGAAGGAGTATATGATTTTGGTATTTTGGTTGGAGGCCCTTTTTTTGAAGTCAGTAAGAGGAAGGAGTATATGATTTTGGTTGGAGGACCTTTTTTTTTTTAGAGGCCAGAGGAGGGATGATATGATTTTGAGGATTTTTTTGTGGGGGCTCCGTGAAGAAACGGGAGGGACCTGGCAAGAGACTAGAGCAAGGTGGATTTGGCTCGGAGGACTTTTTTTTTTTTAGAAATGTATTTAGGGCTACGTCAGTCAAATATTTCGCTTTTCAAAAAAGTTCCGTCACCAAAAAAGGTTGAGAACAACTGGTATACCGTATCTAGTGTGCATATATTAATAGTATGTAAGTTTTTGTGTGATAATTTTAAAATGTTTTATGCTCTAATATAGGCAGTGAAATGTAACTGAACATTTTTCCCTGAAAATGTGTGATGTATCTCACGAATAAAATGTATTTTTTCTGTATTCATCCCATTCTATATGTAATTGGTTTTTAACTGTTGAGTGGTATACTAAGAATATAATAAATTTCATGGGCATTTGGTAGCATTAATGTCAATTTCATCTACCAATAACTATGTTTTCATAACATCGATTAATAATTTTATTATAAAATATGTACATTATTATTACTATTATAAATAAATTATTGTTATTTGTTTTTATTTGCCTTTACTTGTCTTATATTTGCTCTATAAAAAAGATTGCAGTTTTTAAATGATCTACTTGAACTAAACGAAAATAATGTATGGCCACGAATCCATTTGAAAGCATGTAGTTTCAAAACCTATATCTGCCATAAAAAAGTTTTCAATCCTAAACGAACATATAGTCATATCCAGTAAAACAGTGTATAACGAAAGCTTAACATAAATAAAAAAGAACTCTTAATATTTTTAAATAAATTTGTTTCTTTTAGTGCCAGTCTTTTTACCTTCGAGTAAAGTTGAATAACTACTTGCTGTTTAAACGATAGGCTACTGTTCACTAATTTGTCAAGTAAACATATGTGTAATTTTATTCAGAGGTGAAAAGATGGGCTCTTAATGATGCGAATCAGTTATCTAAATTATTAGTTATTGTGACATTACACTGCATAAATTGTAAACATAAATACGAACCCTTTCAAACTGTACATCATTGAGAATGGAGTACCTACCCCTCTCCCCTCACGTCTAAAGTGATGACCCCGCTTATACATAACAAAATACATTGAATGATATCTCTAGTCTTATATGCTCTAAGGTTAACACATTCGATTTTCTTATGAAGCGTTAGGAGAATAATGAGAATTTCCAGTATTTTGAGCATATTCAGAAAGATATGTGAAAAGTTAGATTTTGAATACTTTACTACCCCCAAACATAAATTCTTGTTTTTTTTTTTTTCATTTATGCTTGTTTATTCTCGTTCATACTATTTTGATATATTTGTGTTTTTTATATATAATATTACAATTTTAAATAGATGCCCATTTTTAAGAACAATTTTTGTAAAAATATCATCTAAGATATAAGTACAACATGGTACTAGAAATATTTCCCATGATTCACGTTAATTAATTTTATTATAGCTCCCTGATGATGGAAACAGTCAATAAATTTTCAGAAAGTTGGATAGAGTTCACTTTTATTGAAAACAGTTGGTGATAATTCCCCAATATCAACCTCATTGGTTTTTCATTTATCAGACTACTCATCAACGGCTACCCTTCATTTGTAAAATATAATTATGTATGTATGTTGGGGTGTGGATGGCAAAGTTAAAATTAATACAAAAACACTTACCTATAATTTCCTTTCTTAGGAAGATACTCTTTGAACTGCCTTAAAGTAATCTGAGTGCCAGGTATTTTAGTCCTGTAAGGGAACTGTTCCTCGCAAAAATTGAACACAACTGTCGTTACGTCATCTCCTGCCTGCCCTAATGTCGTCTGTCGTGGACCCCTCATGGATTTTCTCAAAGTCGATTGGCTGCTGTGAGACATTTCCGGATAATACCTATTTGAAGACCTGAAAATCAAATAGATTTAAGTAGTTTTCAATTTAAGATAAAAATTAGCAGAAAATTAATAAAATTTTGATTCATTAACTAAATTAAACAGCATTGTAACATAATCTAATTTTACTTTAGACTTGTTAAAAAACATATTTTTTGAAAATGTTTTAAAGGATTGAACTAGTCTATTTTAATTGATTATATTAAATCACCTTTGTTTAGGTCTAGTCCTGATATCATCCTCCAATAGTCTTCGTCTAGCTTCCTCCAATTGTATCGCTGTATTAGGTGACGGTAAAGGTGGCATATTTGGATCGGCAATGAATGGTTGAGCTGGTACTAACGTACT